CTACCCCGTCGATACATACGGCTGGTGACAAACCCGGACAGGAATCCTCTTTCGTGTGGCGCTTGTCCCTGCCAGGCCTCGTCGTCTGAGCGTTCCGGCGGTGCTCGCCTTACCCAGCCCAGCGTGCCAGTCCTCCTTGATACCGGCGCTTTGCTTTCGGCACCTCCTCGGCCATTTTGCTGTGACGTTTGGTCACAAAACCACAACCCGCGTTCTGCTGCTTTAACCAGAAAAACGTAGGCTTTTTTCTCCCTGATCCCTTTCTGTTATCTTTTTTTTTTTGGCTTCCTCTTCTTCTTTCATTGATTATTCACTCGTTTCTCACTCCAGCGTAGAGGTTTGCAGCAAAACCTGGCCCCTTCCACCCGGGAGCAGGGCTCAGGCAGGGACGTTTCAGCCCGTGGTTGAATAAATGCTACAAAACCTCCTATTTTTACTTGTTACTGTGACATTAATGGTCATTGCAAAGTTCACAAGCGTGACCTGGCGGTGGGAAACTCCTTTTCTGTATACAACGAAAAGGAACAGCACCCGCCAGCTGAACCGTACCTTATAAATATTCAAAATATCTGTAGGAACGTGAGACAAAGCCAGACAGATGAATTATTTAATGCTTTTAAAGAATGCAGCTTTTAGTTTCGCCTTGTGCCGGCCTACTTTATTGTATCAGTAAATTGATCTTTAGCAAATTAATTGCCCCCCTTTTGTGTGAGCGAGCAGTGGGCATGGCGGGCTGGTGGGAACCTTCTCCATCCACGAGCAGATGCCAGGACACCTCTGTGGCTGCGGACTCGGGCACTGAGCGTCAGGAAAGGGTCGAGCTCTCGTCATTCATTTGGGGCCCTTTGGTTTGCATGGGTGCATCCAGCGTTCACGAAAAGCGGGCGGTTTTGGCGGGGACAGAGGAACAACCGCCCGCCTCGGCGACACGACAACAAATGGAAAACGTCGCCAGCCTTTCCAGGCAGTAAGGAGCGAACCTGGAGTACCCGCCTAGGAAAGGAGCATTAAATCCACCCAAAAATCTCCTGCCCGGGCGCGCGCGGGAACGCGGTCCCGCTCCTGTGTGAGCTCTCGCGGACGCAGAGGCGGAGCAGGAGCGGGGTTTTCGCTGGGGTTCTGCTCCGCTCCTGCTCCTCAGCCGGTCTGGCCGCCTCGTGCCGCAGGAACGAATTTCCCTGCTCGGGAACGAATTTCCCTGCTCGTTCGCGCGCCTGCCGAGAGCACGTCGCGGTCGGAGCCGACGGTTCCTTGGGGAGGTAACGCCGGAGGTGACCGGAGCCGCCAGCTGGGAGGGGAGTTGTATTGGCACTGGCCAAACTGGGGGCAGCCCAGCGGGTCCACCCACACGTAACCCTTCCAGTTAGTAAACCCAGGGACTTTCCTTTCCCTTTTTACATAGTGTTGTAGCGGCCGCGCAGTAAATACTCCTAGAGAAATACGTCCAAAACTGCTCTCTGGACTAGTTTGAAGAGGTGTGAAAAATTCCTGCTCTGAAGACTGACGTTCTGTCTCCCTCTTTTTTTTTT